ATGAAAATGCCACAAAAAAGTCATGTTTCTGAAAATTTCTGAAAGTATACTGAAACCTCAATGGGACAGACCAGTATAAATTAGGGAACTGACATGGAATCCTGTGGTTACATGGGAAGCCATTGTAATGCTAATGCATTATAAAATACATAAAAATTATTTACACTACAACTTTAAAGGTTCTTTGGTGACTATGCTTTTCAACATATAGTTGTTACTAAATAACATTTGCTTACTGGCACTAGATTGGAGGCATGATAAAATAAGATGACTTCATCAGTTTGAAACACAGGGCATTTCACTGGAAACTGAGGAAATTAGTTTCTAAAGCTTAAGCATGTAGAGGTGATGGAGAAAGGAGAGGCAGTATTTGAATTCTCATGATGTTAGACATCTTTTAGTTTTCTGTGTTCAAATTCAATCCTTACTGCACTTTGGCTAGATAGATACTCAGAGATCAGGAAGTAAATGGTAGCAGGAAATGACCCAAATTCACAATGCTGAAAGGTAAATCTAGTGATCTAGCGCCAGACTTTTCTTTTCACTAAAAGATGCAATCTACACAGTGAACTGTGGATTCATTCACAGCTACATTCCATTTCCTTAGAAAGCTGAGTTTAGGGAAGGATTTACATAGTTGTGAAACCAAGAACATTAGGTCCCAGAATGCCTCTAAGCCACTGCCAGAGGGCTGTGATTTTCTCAGGAACAGACATGGTTTCAGATGTAACTTACAGGTGTTATATGAGGGAAACTGAAAATAAAAGACCAGTTTGCTTTGGGAAAGGGAGAGGAGTAGCTAAAGAAAAATGCAAATTAGACAGGAAATCCAGGTACAAATATTCTTTCTATAATTTCCTAGATAAGTGAGTCTGAGAAAGACTTTCCTACTTCTTGAACATAAATTTATCTCATCATTTATTATGCCATGAGGTAAAGGCTGTTTTGAACTACAAATATTATAAATATTATAAAACACTATATATGATTCATTTTTCTATATCTTAGGAAATTATGCATTTGATATTAGAGATGTTTAAATCTATAGAGGTAATTCTTTTGTTTTTCTGGCATGTTATTTGTATGCCAGGAAGAGATGTCTTTTCCTCTCAAATTCTGAGCTTAACATTTCAACTGAAAGAAAAGCATAAGAAAAAGATGCTGGGTGGAGCTATTAATCTGTGCTCTGTGTCCTTTTTAGGATTTACTGGTCTCCTTTCCCTCATCTTTGTATAAAAGGATCAGACAGCTCATGATAGTTACCTTCAATAATGCAATCCTTATTCTGTGGTGGCTGATGTTTTCAAGAGAATTGTAATGCTCATCCAGATATTTGTCTTAAGATGAACCTTCATTCTTTTCTATACCAACTTCCTCTACATATGCTTTTTATCTTATATTACGATGGCTTAGTAACCAGTTTTAACCTAAATTCCTAACGTAGTTGCTTCAAAGGAGAGGAATGAGAAGAACCCTGTCAACTGCAGTTCATAACCAATAGCTCATCAGGGATATTGAGCAACAGTAGTACTAGGATGTCCACAAGGAGCCTAAAGACATAGTGGGGGAGAGCACAGCTACCTTATCTGAAAATAACCTTAAAGCTCAGCAATACTGTGGCTTCCAACAGGAATAAATTTGCTTTACTGCATCAGTTTCAGAGAGGACAAGTCAAAAGTACAGTGCAAATCGGCTCTAAGATCATCAAAAATTTCTACCTAGTCCAGCATCTTAAGTGTCTGGGTTTAAGATCTGCTTCATCTAACTCCAGATCCCTGCTATCAAGTCATTGGGTCATTAGTATCAGAACAGAGTAAAGAAATGTGATGAATGGTGGGAATGGCGGGTCTTTTGAAAGTTTGTAAAACAGCCCCAGTTTTGGTTTTCAAGGGCCAATCATGAGTGGAAAATGATAATAATTATCCGGATATTTAATTTGTCACAAAGTGAATCTTCATTCTTTTCTATAACAACTGCTTCTACATGTCTTTGCTTTATATGTCAAGACAGTTTAGGTAAGCAATTTTAACCAAAATTACTAAGACAACTGTTTTGAATGGGAAGTTGGAGGGGTTGCTGAAAGTCTCAGGAGAAAAAAATATCTTAGTTTTTAATTCTTAAATATTGTATATCTTCTCTGATATGCTGCATGGTCAGTTGACTCAATAACTAATGGACAAGAGAATTAATTTGTTGGCCAAAGCCTACTACTGTATTTTAATCTCCTAGACACCAGAATGGTTGGGAGTGATGCCCATGGAACTACCACTACATAGTAGAAATTGCATGTTTCCTTGGAAGTGGACTTTGATAAGGAGTCCCAGGTTATATTTAGTCCCCAAAGGAAATCACTGCATAGTCCAAAGGATGAGTGATTTATGCTCTACACCCTGCCAAAACTTTTACATCTGAGATAAGTACTACACAGATATCTGTTAAAATATGGCTTTTGTTTATGTTAACTACAATAAGAAAAGCGTTATCTTCATTTCCATGCCAAGTCATGTGAGAAATGTTTCATACACAAGCACCTCCCTATCAGTAAGGTGAATACTGGTTTGTTTCATTGTATCGATAGAATAAGGAGTATGAACTCAACGTAAGTTTATCCTTCTTAAAAAATGCTGACCATTGATAGATTGTGGGCCTGGTGGCAAGTAAATTTACTGAAGCCACAGGGAAAGTCAGCACAGGCACCTTTCAGGCAACTGTGACCATGGGCCCATCTAAACCACAACAGTACTTTTTCCTCCCTCTGCCCTCCTCCCCCCGAATGGGAGTGGTGCACTGACATTTCCATTGATGAGAAGAAATTTCTGGCTGTCACTTCAGAACATACCAATAACCAAGATCTAGGCTGTCATACCCTAAAAGGTTTCTATCTGATGTTGCTGTGTCTAGGGAGGGAATAGAGTAGGACGGAAACATCCCATTGTTTGTGTGGCCCCTTCAACAAGAAATAAAGTGGTATGAATCAGGAAGCAGATGGATCAAGGACAGGCAGTGTGGCAAAGGCAACAGACAGACAAGATGATCATGGGTCCACGGAACACATTCCTAAGTTAGAACAACTGTTGCAGAGAGACAGAGGTGCTGGTCTAACAGACTGGAACATTCGTCTGCTGAGCAACACACCCAAGTCTCCACAGAGTAGTATTTTTTATTGCAGTATGACTTTCTTGGGAAATAAACAAAACTTTAAATAAATCACAATTACTTATTGCTTAGTATTTTGGATAATAAATTCTTTAGTTTATCAGTACCTCACGGCCTTCAAATGTGCATTCTTCAAATAGTTGCAATTACATATACATTCTTTCTCCTGAACAATAAATTATTTTTAAAAAGGAAAAGGTACATAATTTTAAAGCAAAGAAAACCAAAAACATATATTTTTGACATTTATCTTAAACTTATATGAAAACAATTCTCTCTATGTTAGACGTTTAAATATAAATAATAAAGGACATTATGTTATTTACAATGTTATACAGTAAGCTGAAAGTAAAAACTGACATTAACTCAAAGACAGTAAATGATTTAAGAAAACATCCAAGTAATGTACAATATGTATTTACAAATGAATATATAATAGAACGTGTGATATGTGGCTATTTCCTTTTGTCTGCAGTCTCCGCAGTGTCTCATGCGTCTTGGTGGATAAAAAATGTCTCTGGCTGGTGCGAGGCAGCCAGTACTTAAAGATAAGACCAGGCTTTCTTTATTTTTACCAATGTGAGCCATGCACTCTTCAACTTCAGGCCAAAAAGAGGAACAGTTACCGAGCAAGTTACCCTGGGTCAACTCCATCAACATCATGACAGTCACAATGAAGCAAGAAAAGGTGGCATATTGCTGTTTGGGACACATTCACCTACACAGAGTACTATTTTGTGGTAAGCAGAAGGCTGTCCACCAGCAGTCTTGGGAAAAAAGGCTATAAGGAAAGCAGGCTAGAAAAATTAACCTCGAGGAAGAAAAAAGGAGTTTTGCATATAGTATGTTCCACTGGATACTGTCCGAGAGCTATGATTCCAGAAACAAAGTTGCTGTCAAACTTCTCTGCAATTTCCACTCCTTTAAAAATGAAGGCAGCTTTCCTTATGCTGAGAACACAGGTTTAGACTGCTTTGGTTTGCCAGGGAAGCCCCCAAATTTATAATTAGGGATGCTTATGAGTGAAGTGGCAGCAAAACATCAGAGATGTCCCTGGGAACCCACATTGGTAACAGCCGCTGGGAGTCCTGAGCATGCAGCTGGCCTCTCTGATCACAAGCAACTCTTGCTCTGTCAGTGGAAAGCCTGCCTCAGCCACTACACCACATATAAGTGATCAGAAGTTGGCTGAAACAAAACTTTTTGTCCATTTGCAATTTGAAAATTTATAGTGATTTTCATGCTGAGGAAAATGTTCCTCATCAGAAGACAGTATTTTTGAAAATTTTCAGAATGGGTCAAATGAATAGCCCAAATGCCCAGAGAAATTGAAACAGAATGTTCAGGGTTTTAAGATAATGATAGGAATTTCTTTATTGAAATAGTGAAGAATGAGTCAAGGCCTTCAATGGTAAGGTTGGAATAATTGAGAGAGCCTCTTCAAACTCATGGTCTTCTTCCCCATGCCATGAGCGTATTCATTTCTGCACAACTGGGAAGTCAGTGCAAACTGACAGGGGCTCCTCTGTGTAGGTTAGAAAACAAATTAGGACCATACTGAGCATGGAGAAAGTGGCACGTGAACAGTGATGAAAGACTACGGATACCAAAAGCTAACAGTGACATCAAGGACCTGCAGATGAGCCTCTCAGTGGATTGTAGAAACTGGAAAACCAGTAGGAGTACAAAGACTTTGATTCATTACATTTTTTTCATCTCAGACCTACTGGCTTGTCCTTTCTTCCCTCTGATTTGTAAAATAAAGATTTGGTGGAGAAATACATTTATTTCATTTGCAAACAAGAAGCAATTGCCCCCTTCCCCCCCACCCTCCTTGACTCTGTGAACCCCCTGCTAGCCTGTTTCCTAGTTTTGTTCCATGGCACATAAGAGGCCTCTTGGAACTCAGGCAAAGCTCTAGTTTGCTTGACAGGTATCAGGCAGGCACCAAATGGGTTCTGCATTATAAAGTTTTCTTCTTTTCCTTGAATTAGCAATTATTTCAAATGTTAATACCTATAGGCCTTCACTGGATTTATAGTCACAAGAGAACATGCAAACTTTAGACCAACCTCAGTCCTGCTTTTGTAACCATAAAGCAAAAATTCAGAAAGGGAAAAGTAGGTGATACAGGCTGTAGATGGACAGTTCAGCCTACAGATGGGGGGGTCACTTCTGCAAGTAAAGGTGCAATTTTTCCAACACCATTGACATTTCCTGATGAGTTACCTCTTGTGGAAGGTTCTTACTAATAACAAATCACATGCACATTGACCATTCCTGACAAAAAATGTCCATGCACAGTTATGACCTAATCAAGGCAATGTTGAAAAAAAAAAAAAAAAAAACATAATGGAGAGAAAGGTGTGGTCAACCAAAACTTTAAAATGTCAACCAAGTTACACAGCTGCTGTCCACCTATGACTTCTAACCACTCAACAATGAAAGCAGTTTCCAATGATGACAATCTTCCACTATACACAACAGGCACACTTAATTCCACAAGAGCTTCAGGCAGGCTTCTGAATGTACTGTTCACAGTGGGCCTTTGGTGCCAACATCTGCCTATTTTGAAGCTGAGAAGACATGACCCATCAGTACCTCCTGAATCAGTGGAAGATATGGGTCAGAAATGATTGCACCACTATCAGTTGAGGTCTGTAGTTCAAATAGATGAGCTGTTGGATCATTCCCCCATGATAGAAAGTAAAACTGAGTCCTCGTCTAAGTTTTTAGATTTAACCTAATAGCAGGCCAGAACCCATTTTCTAAGCTATGCCTAAAACTGTTGCTTTTGTCAAGAAAAATAAAGTGGTAGCTTCTTTTAGCAAGAGCAAGCTGTCTTCTGATTAATATTATAGTTTTTTTAAATCACAGTATTACTTTCTTCCTAATATTTAACATTACTTAATGCAGTTTCTTGCTGTATTTAATAGTAGCATGCTGTTGGATCTACTATTATCTCAGAGCCCAATGAAGCAAACCTTTGGCTGACAGAGTAAACAGAACTCATTTCATATTCTGAAAGCAAAGAAAACTTCGTACAAAAGATAAGAGTATTTGGATGGATGTGCCATTACAAGATGTACTGATTGTACACTACTACAAGCAAACAGAAGGACAGTTGCAAGTCTTGCAAATCATACATCCAGTCAACATCAGAATGCAATGCACAAGAAGCCAGCAAAAACAGAATAGATGGAAAGTTTTGCTGAAATACTGTGGAAAAGCAATCACTGTAACTGTACAAAACTTGCTCTCGACATAACATAACATAAAGGCACCATTGATATCTTTCTCGTTTTGAAATACTGTAAAAAATTGCTACATATGGCACATAACACATTTTTACATACATATATTTAATTTATAAAAGTTTTCCTGTTTTCTATTTGCAGAACTGCTAAAATAAAATAAATTGTTTAATTTAAGGTGGAATACTTTATTATATAAAATAAAGTTTTACAGGTGAATCTATGTGTTTATTTAAGTTTTATACAGCAATAGGGTCTTGGTTAGCAATTACACTAGACAGCCTGGCCTGTAATTCTTCCTGTGTAGAGAAGCGGCCTGCTGGGTTAGTCCTGCTGTCAGTCAGGCGGAAGGCAGGTGCTACCTCAAGACTGGCTGCCAGGGGGTTCTGTATACCCAGGAAAGGTGTATCTTCACCTACTCGTTCATCCTCTGTTTCACTCTCTGAGTTACTGTTCTCAGAGCTTGTATTGCTGTCCAATTCCAACCTGTTGGCAATGTGGCCATTGGGCTTGGTTCTTTTGGCCCGCCGGCTATTGGCGAGTTTCTTAACAGGCTCTTGAGCTGGTTCATACTCCTGGGTGGTCTCATACTCCTCATCCTCCACTATCCTCAAGGGACTAGCGGGGAGGCTGTTACTCTCATGTGCAGGGTTGTGATGGAAGTTACTGAACTGCTGAGGGTGATGATCATACTTCTTCTCCCGCAGCTTGGGTGGTGTCACAAGAAGGAGAGGTCTCTCTTCTTCCACGAAGGGGCTGACTGCCATGGAGGGCATGGACACCGTCATGCTTGACACGGGTGGAGACATTTCCGAAGGGGGTGATTTGGGGGAGCTTGGCGTGTGGAAATCTACAGGTGACATACGAGCCGGGGTGGTCATGGCTGACACATACCTGTGTGAGCACAGAATACCCCACATAAGTGTGGTCGAAGAAGCAGCAAATATCAGGGAGGACAAGGGCACAGAGTTCATGATATAATAAAAGCAGAGAACAATACTCACTAACTACATACATTCCACTTTGTACAACTAGGAAATTCAGTAACCTTGGGATCTAAAACTATATCACCAAGATTTTCCTTACAGGAGTACATGCAAAGATCTCCTAAATTGTTGAGCTGAAAAAAGCTTTTTGGATTTTCAGTCTCATCACGACTTTAAATGAAAGCATGTGAGCCAAACAAAGAGGGCACTAGGTCCTGGAAATCTCTCCAGTTAGAAAGACTGAGGCTCAGGGATCTGGAAGGGAAAGAAGTATTACTTAAATACTATACCTTCCTAAAAGGCCAAGGGGTCTTAGAGAATGAAGCCCAAATGGGGAATGGAAGAAGATCTAAGATGAGTTGCTGAGAGCTGGATCTGCATGCATTTGGATCTGTGTGCCTTGGCTCTCCTTAGCTCAGCTATAGGGCTACGTCTTATGAAAAGAAAAGAGCACAGTGACTTAGATTTTTATTCCTGATAACAGTGTAATACAATTTGTGTGCTTTTCATTTTTTTTTTCATGACATGCTACTACCCATCCCAGGGTTCAAGACAGTCAAAGGTAAGCTAGGGAGAACCTTAAGGTAGGGTGATAGTTTTTAATCTGGAGACTAGGACTAATATTCATTCAGTTCACCTCTGTTGCAAATCTACTATCAGCCTTTGGAACATGCAAAGGTGAGCTAAATTGCCCGTTAATATTTCGTGACTATACCTGGACTAACTGTATTATGATATGATACCGTAGGTCCTGCTATATCTGATGATGCTTACTGAACCTCACTGTTGGGACAGAGTGTACTACTTTTACTATATCATGCTTTCTTCCACCAGAATAAGAGGTCTTGAATTCTGGAACTGAGGAAAATGAGTCATGCTTCTCAGCCTTTGAGAAAAATCTTACCAATGCCTAACACTAAGTGACTTCTCTTCACACTGACATTCACAGTATCTAATTTGATGTGATCTGTGATAACACAGGACATCACTGGATGAACTCTAGCTAATGGGAACCAGAAACTTACTAACTTCTCTGTTTTTCTGTGATTCATAGTGATATGGATGTGAGAAGCAGCATCTAAAATAGGAAAGTCTTGGAGATTGAAACATTTGGGGCTTGAGTCTGTAGACTTTGTGAGCTGGGGGCACTTGAATGAAGCTCTGTGTGAAATGGGAGTCTAAATTCAGCCAATACACAGAGTGATTCATATTTCCTCCCCATGACCTTTAAAATCTGCAGTCCTAGATGGTACGTGGGACAGGTAAGGAAGCTTACCTCAATAGGGACATATCAACCTTTCAAAGATCCACATCTCAGGTAGGGATGAGGGAAGATTTCATCCCTAACCTTATTTTTCAGATTTCAAAATGATTTAATTAGGATGAATAGACTTTGTAATACATAAAGGTAACATCACAAGACTTTAGGAGAAATGTCATAGGCCAGCTTTGGATCCTGACTACTTTTCCGCAAATGGGTTGCTGGGAGAATTCAAATCCTATAAATTCAATACGGCATGAAAATACTATTTTTGGGGAAAGGTGCTGAAGCCTTTATGTGACATACAAGCTTAAAAGGGGCCACTCGGTCCTGAAAATCTCAAGGTCCATAAGTAGAGTCTTTTAAAATCATCTCCAACTAAATAACTACCAAATAAATGTGCATTTGGCATTATATGAACCTTATATGGTGAAAGATTAGACTAAGACAACAATACAACAACACAAAACCAGTGGATCAGAAAACAAAACTTATAGGTGGGCAAAGGCAGCCATATACACCTTCCAGTACAGGTGTAAATGTGTAAGAGAGAATCTATGAGTTCAATATTCCTATTAAAGAGCTCTTTGAGGTGAGTTGCCTCCATTCATTTTATCTTTGCTGTTACTTCCACAACCTGACCCAATCTCCCCAGAAGAAAGCTCAAGCATCTGGAACAAAGGACCATGTTGAAAATGTGTCTTCTTTGAAAAACATCTGTGAAGACGGCCAGATGTGGCCAGATTTATCTATTCATCCCTCCTTGGGACTTCATGAAAGGGATACTATGCGGTGCAATACCAGCAGTTGCTCCCCGAGGACTGATAGTAATGACACAGTCCTTACTTTGGCCTAAATGAGGTTGGAAGGTAAGAATTAACACATGAGATCACAAGGCCAGCTCAACCCCCAAATTAAGGTGTGGGTAAGTGGCAGATTAGAATTAGAAAGGAAGGGTCCTCATCAAGCATTGTTGCCATTTGTCTAAGGTGACAACTGAGGAAACAGAGACCCGGAGGGGGTCAGAGACTATGGCCAGGTCTGAGAACTCCAAGTCTGCTGCACCTTCCACATCAAAGCACTTCAGCTCTTTAAGAGTCTGTTGCCTGTCAGCCAGTGGGACGACGTGAGAAGCTCAGAAGAAATGAGTTCAGTCAAACCAAAAGATGACTTCATCAACTAGAAGCACTCCTAGAACAGGAAACTGCCGCCCCGATTCTGACCAGGCGGATTTCCTTAGGTGAGACTGCAGGTGCCCATAGGATTCTGTTACTGAGGTTCCTCGGCAGTAGCTTTGCCCTTCAGTTTTACCTTTCGCTATGAGGAGAGTCTCGGTAGGAGTCAGGGGTTTCTCTGGCATGCCTGAGGAAGCTGTTACATTCGCGAGGGCCCCCTAGGCCATTAAGACGTCCTCTTGGGCCCCCACTGGGGCTGCTGTGCCTACTGTTTTCTACTGATGACATCACAATTACAGAGTGGCTTTCCGAAAGAATGCTTTCTGTGTGCCCATTGCTCCAGCTGGAAGGGAGGAGAGGTGAGAGGCTGTGAGATGTTTTATTTTCATTACATGTGAAAGTGGAAATGAAAGGAAGCAAGTCTGCCAAATACTATGTACTTCAAGTTACCCGTGCACCAGTGGCTTGCTACACTAGCTAAGAACAGAACAGTTATAGAGATCCTTGCACATCAAGAAGATTGGCTTTGTGAGCATATAATGTATTTACATGTTCACTCATTCAATATTACTTATCAAATGTCACTATGTGTTAAGTATTCTTACAGGTCTAGGACAGACTTCCCAGTGACATGATTCAGTGAGGAGGCAAACATGAGTAAAGACAATCTCTAGAATGAAGAACAGCAATTCTGTGAGGTAGAAATCATCCTTGTTCTAGGGGGTAGAGGTTCAGATTACACAGCAGTTAAGTGCAGACTACACAGATACCCATGCTTAAGTCCAAGGATTGTATAGGTTTTTGTGCTCGCTCTCTTTCTTTCTCTGTCTCTCTGTCTCTCTCTGTCTCTCTGTCTCTGTCTCT